CACTGCTCCTCGGCCGTGGCCAGCGAGGCCGGGGCGAGGTTGCACTCCTCTGAGGCCAAGAAGAACTCAGCCCATTCCCTGTCGTTCAGCTGGATGCTGTACTCGAAGTTATCCATGCCTGCAGCGGGAAAGCAAAGTGGGGAGGGGGGGAGAGATGGGGGCATGAGGAGGTGGCACTAGTGTTGGCAGACATAGGTGAGGTGTGTGCCCTTAATCCTGTCCCCACGGGTTCCTTCCCTGCCATCTGCATTCATTCATCCTCACTCATCCTCCCATCTTTCCAGCTGAAATTCCAGCTCCTGGCAAACTCAGCAGGATGGGGATGGCTGTGCTGGACCATAACCCAGCCAGCAGTGAGAGAGACCACTGCTACCCCCCTCTGGTCCCTGCTGCCTCTGCTCCCCGAGCACGGCAGCACAGAGGGGTTGAGATTCTCTCCACAGCTGCACAGAAGGTTTGGGATTCTCTCCACAGCAGCACAGTAGCATCACACCTCACACACCCCTTTCCTACTCCTCTTGCCTACGACCCATTTTAAAAACTGTGGGATTTCTGTTCTTGAGCATTCCTGCTGCCACAGCATCATGCAGGAGGGGAGCACGAAGCACACTCCAAACAGGACATTCCAGCAAGCCATGGCAGCTCCTTCCATAGCCGTGGCCCCGGGGAGGGACTTGCAAAAGAGCCCAAAAGAGTGGGGATCCAGCAGCAGAAGCAGCAGAGAGACCACAAAGCTGAATCCTACCTGTACCCCGACCTAAGGTGGGGATGGAGCCATTCAAAGAGCCACGCAGGAAAATCCTCCCAGCACAACATGATGCCGTACCCTTGATGGGGGCAGAGAGCTCGGCTCCAGCACAGATCCATTCAGGGGCTAAAAATAGACCCCCCCTCCCTCCCCAGCATGTCACTTGAGAGCCGAGCGCGGTGGGTTCAGAGAGGGCAGGCCCATATATAGAAGCTGGTGGGGGACATGTCAGGGCATCAGCCAATGTGTGTCTGTCCCACAGCCACGTTTGGGGACCACTCCTGATGCCCACTGCTCCCTTCTGCCCTCAGCCTGGGATCGCTCCATGGGATGGCCAGTGGAGAGGGGGCAAAGGCCTCGGAGCTCACACCTTTCATCACATGAGGGAGTGGGACACCTGGGTGGCAATGACTGTCCTTTTTCCCACACACACCCACCCCTTGCCTCAGTCGTCATTTCCAAGATGACAAAAGCACGCCCCAGGGCATGGTTCACCCTCTGAGAGCACTCCCAGGGCACTTACTGCCAGCCTACTGCAGAGTGACATCAAAAGATCACAGTCAGGTCTTGTGACAAACCTTGCAGGGTGCGTGTGGCAGCCGTCCCACACCGCCCAGGGACACCTGGTCCACGTGCTGGAGGGAGCCTGAACCTGGAGGGAGCCTGGGGCTGGAGGCTCTGGGTGAGCCTGGCACGAGGGAGTTACTGGCCGAGGGTGGCCTGGCAGGTCAGCAACCAGAGCCAGAAATAGCCCTCGGCTCCCACGAGCCCCGGAGCTGCCTCCCACCACATGCCCTCCCTGTCCCAGGGGCCAGAAATAGCTGCTGCAGGACAGTGGCTGTGAGTGTGAGCCCCAGCCCAGGGGGGCCAGCACTGCCCCAAGGCTCTGGTCACTTCTTCTGCCACCAGGGTGCTGCAGCCCCCACAGCTGGAGATGGCCACTGTTGTAGATGCTGTGGGAGCTGAGAGGGACCCACGTGCTCTGCCTACACTTTGGGGGTCCTGCAGATGCTGCAGAAGCCAAGAGGGACCCACATGCTCTGCACCCACCTTGGGGTGTCCCATAGATGTTGTGGGAGAGCCACGAAAGACCCACGTGCTCTGCATCCACTTTGGGGGTCCTGCAGATGCTACAGGAGCCAAGAGGGACCCACATGCTCTGCAACCACCTCGGGGGTCTTGTAGTTGCTCTGGGTGCTGAGAGGGACCCACATGCTCTGCATACACCTCAGGAGTCTTGCAGATGCTTGCGGGAGTCAAGAGGGTCCCACATGCTCTGCATCTGCCTCGGGGGTCCCGTGGGGAACTAAAAGGGACTCACATGCTCTGAACCCCCCTCAGGGGTCCTGGAATGCTGTGGGAACCAAGAGGGACCCACATGCTCCGCATCCACCTCAGGGGTCCTCAGCCGGGCTGGGGTGCTGGCCATGCCAGGACGCACATTCCAGGGAGCCGGGGCCAGCAGCTGGCTCCGGCTGGGAGGAGGGAACCTCCTGCCCTGTCCTGCCAGCCCTGCCAGCCCCGGCCATCCCGCGGGATGGAAGCTCCCCGTCGTGGCTGCCGCCTCACACTGCACAGCCCGGCAGCGAGCCAGGAGGGTCCAGCCCACCAGCAGCTGGAATCAAGGGCTAAATATTGACCAGGACACGCTTCCCTTCTCCCTGCTCCAGGCTGACGCATGCAGGGAGCTTGTCCAGCCGAGAAAATATGGAAGGAAAGAGGTCTGCTGCCTTCCCATCCTATCTCACGTCTGATCTGGCTACACCCTTCTCCCCCTCGCACAACTCGCAGACGCAGAAGGGAAACCAACTGGCTTCCTTTTCTTGGCTGCAGTCGACTTCCTTCCCTTTGAGCCCGGCAGCCAGGGTTAGTCAGAGAAACCTTTAAACTCAGCCTTGCAAACCGCAGCAGAGAACATGAAAGGGGCAGAGGCAGCGAGACGGAACTGGGAGCCAGCAGCGGGCTGGCGGCCCGCGTTATCAGCGTCACATTGCAAACCCAGCCACGCTCCAAACCCCACAGGAACTGCACACACCCCGCCACACGGCCCACCCCGGCCCCCCAGACACAAGCAAGTCTCAGCGCAGGAGACATCCCGCTATTTATTTAGCTGTCCAGGGCGAAGCCCGCGCGCGCTGTCCTTGGGGGAATGACACATCTGCCGCCGCTTCCCTGCCTTCCTCCGGGGGGGATAAAAGCCCAGCGTGGCCTTCAAGGGCATGGCACCCTGCCCTGAGGGGCACGGTGCTGCCTGCCAAGGACATCCAGCAGTGGCAGCCTGGACAGCCCGGCTCCGATTTCCTTCTGGCACGTGGTGCCTCTCTGGGATACCTGGCTCCGGCTCTCCCGAGGAGGTGATGCCAGATGCTGGGATTGCCACAGGGCTGCTCCAGCACCATCCAGTGGTTGGCACCTGCCGTGGGCAGAGCCAGGAGGGCAGAGCCTCCCAGCAGCTCGTCCCAGCAGCTCGTCCCAGCACCTCCAGGGTTGACGCTGTGGTATTAAGGACATTATATAAATAACTAATGTCAATGTGTGTAATTAGAGATGGGCCTGAAATAAAGCAGCAGATGAGGCCCCTCTCTGCGCCTCATGTCACAGGACACAGCGTGGGAGAAAGAGCCAGGGTCAAGGGCATGGAAAAGGGGTCTAGGGAGGAAAACCAGGAGTGCCATGGAGGGCGCTTCCTTTGGGATAAAGACCCGTTCTGTGGCTTCAAGCTCCACATTTGTTACTCCAAGTGTAAAGGGATTTTGACTTCTGGGAAAGGAGCTTTCGGAGCTTTATGGAATAATACTCTGAGATAACCAATTTCCTATCCAGGAAACTCCATATGGGAAAATTCCACCTTCATGCAGCTCTTAAAACCAGCACTAAAACATCACGAGTATGGGGGTTTGGCTGAATTCACTGTGAGACAACACAGACAGTGCAGAGAAATGTGGGTTTGATTACGAAGATGTCCTCCCTGCCCTGATCTACACCCATCACATGCTGTGTGTGAGGGGAGGAAGAGAGATGAGTTTGCAGGAAAAGCAATGGAAAAAAAATAAAAACATAATGGAAAACGAAATGTGTCCACAGCTTCAGGAGCAAGACAATGTTGGCCCTTGCTGCTTCCAACTGCCCAGGACAGACTGTGTTTGTGGTTATTTTCTCATGCCTTCTTCCTTTCTGGCTGGATCATCCTTCAGCCTCGGTCACTGATAGTGCCTGGCCTTGTCTGCCTGTCTCTGGCTGGGCTCTGGACTCTGGTCCTCTGCTCTCAGAGCACCAGCCGTTCCATCTTGTGATCTCCCCCTCATCTGATGCATTTGTTCCCTTCCATAAATTCCTGTGAGGTACAAACTGCCACATGGATAGCTCAGTCCTCGGATTAGGGAATTCTGAGCTGCTCAGGTACAGCTCTGACCTTGCACCCTCACCTCCCCCCGAGACAGGGAGGGAGCAGACATGGAATCCAGATCTACCCCAGGGAAAGCCTGGGAGGAGCAGCTCCTCTATGCTGAGGAAGGGGTTAACTCTGTGCTGAAACTCAAAGTGCAAGGAAGCTGTAACCACCAGGCTGGTTTTGCTGGTTTGGGGGCAGGTGAGCAGGAATTATCACCCCCAAACCATAAGACTCTCTGCATTGTTTTTGCCTAAACCCTTTAACTATTTTGGTGGATTTTTTTTTTAATTTTTTTTTTTTTTTGCCTGAAACTCGCTCCCCAGGCTCTCTTAAAATTCAAGCCCATGCTTCCCCAGCCGCCAGCAGCAGGCTCACGCAAAGGTCAGCCTCTGCTGACTTGAAACTCAGCCTGCACTCTGCCTGAAACTCTGCCAAAGCTCTTCCAAAAGCTCGTATCCTGGCCAGAGTTTCGGGTTGCTAATCCAAGTCTCGCTGGGTTTCAGATTTCCCTGCAAGCTTTGGCTTTGCTCTACACAAGAATAGCTCCGGGCCAACATCCACGCTGTGCTGGCAGGACCCTTCCAGCCAGGGCAGGGGTGGCAGCCCCGGGGGCAGGGGTGGTGGTTCCAATGCCAGGGAAGCAGGGTAAACAGGGCAGGCAGCTGCCTCAGGGGCACGTGGATGGGCTCAGTATCCGTGATCCTGGATGCACCATCCCTGGGGGACAGGTTCTGCAACGAACTCCCCAGCTCTGCCTCTCTGCAGGGGCTGTGGGACACTGTCCCTTGCCCCAGGGCTGTGCTCAGAACCTGTCAGGAAAAGCTGCAGCCACAGGGCTGCAGAGAAGTTGCCCAGAGAAGCTGTGGCTGCCCCTGGATCCCTGGAAGTGTCCAAGGACAGGTTGGCCAGGGCTTGGAGAAAGCTGGTCCAGTGGAAGGTGTCCCTGCCCATGGCAGGTGGTTGGAACTGGATGAGCTTTAAGGTCCCTTCCAAGCCAAACCATGATTCCATGACTGTAGCTGCTCCCTTGGCAGCAGGTTCTTCACTGCCAGAGCACAGGCAAGACCTAAATCACCACAACACCCACCAGTACAAAGTTACCCCAGCCCCTTGTTTTAACCCAAAGTGCAGCACAGTGGCAGCAGGCCAGTGCATGGTCTGGGTGGCTGTGGTGCTCCTGGCTTGGGGACAGCAGCTGTAAGGCCAGGGGACAGCTGTCATGTCACAGCCACCTCGCTTTTCACATTGCTCACTGGTGTGAGAGACAAGCTCTCTCTGCAAGTCATACCCATGCACAGAGAGCTGTTCTATTGTGGTTTTTTTTACAAGTCCTGAAAAGAAGCTGCTGGGCTGAAGTTCCAACTCACAGGACTCAGTTTCACCCCTGAATCCAACGGGATCAGTATTTTACCTGTGGACTCATTTTCCCTGCCGTTTCCACTAGATGTCACTTACAGCCACAAAGTTTGCAGTTTCCCTTGGATTTTTAACCTTCTCCGTGGAGGTTAAAATTCTACAGAAGCAGGTCTGTGGTGATCCTAAAAAGGGGTCTTAGGTATCCAGGACATTAGGGCTGTGATGGTACCAGAGCAGTCAGGACTGCAGGCTGTAGGGGAGGGTGGTGTAGGGGAAGCTGAGCATCCCATCCAGCTGGTGTGGTGCCTCTAGGGGAAGGGAAAATCCGTGTTCCATAAGGCTGGAAGAGCAGGGTCTTTGCTAACACTGCCTTGAGCATGTTGGGAGCCTCTACAGCAAGGCTGTCGTGCCCTGTGCTGGAACATTAGATGTTCAGTGATCCACGCAGGTAGGTCACCAGCTGCCACGTGTGGGTGTCCAAATCTCTGAGCCAGCAGCAGCTCGAGCTCCGCAGTCACCGAACGTCCAAAGTGCTTTGGGGTAAGGGCTGTTCTGCCTCTGCACATCGTAGAAAACATGAAGTATTTTGGGCCATCCCAGCTGGGGGTGTGGAGGTTCTGAGGCCGTGTGGCAAAGGCATAAAGCAAAACTCACAGAACCACAGAATATCCTGAGCTGGAAGGGATCATCCAGTCCAGCTTCTGGCCCCGCACAGGACACCCCAACAATCCCACCACTTGTCTGAGGGTGTTGCTCAACACTCCTTGAGCTCTGTCAGCCTTGGGGTCATGCTCACTGCCCTGGGGAGCCTGTTCAGAGCCCAACCACCCTCTGGGTGAGGAACATTTTCCTAATATCCAGCCTAACCCTCTCCTGACGCAGCTTCATGCTGTTCCTGTCACTGGTCACCAGAAAGATCGGTGCCTGCCCCTCGTGAGGAAGCTGTAGGCTGCAATGAGGTCTCAGAGGAGGGTGAGTTGGTGTCCTGGGCCACCTCTTTGGTGTCCTTCCTCTTCCTCTCCTGCACCCAACGTGATGTGAGGGAGAGAGGCTGCTTTGGGATGGAGCAGTGGAGGGAAAGGCAGTGGTGGTTGACACAGGCCCTCGGGAGCAAGAAAGAGCTCCAGGATGAGACATGGGAAGGGAGAAGGACCTGAGACTTCCTGACAGAGTGTCAGCTTGGGGAAGTTCTCCCCTCCCTGTTCTGGCTGTGGGCCTGGAAAGGGCAACGGTAGCTGGACCGGCAGCCACAGCTCCGCTTTCTGTCCAAGCCGCTGATTAATTATGTTTTGGGTTAAAAGGGCCTCTCCTCCCACCCCAGCCCCGAACACAAGCTGTTCCACATCTGCAGGACCCTGTCAGCCCTCAAGGTCCCGAGTTCCTCACCCCTGCTCTGCCCACCCCCTTCCAAACAGATCCCATTCCCGGCTGAACGGGGCATCGCGGTTGTGTTATTGTAACTCCCAGCACATCGGCCACTGCGCTGATCCCAGCCCACCCACTGTCAGCAGCTTCAAAGAGCAGAGGAGAGGTCAGGTTGCAAAGCACAACAGACACCGGTAGCTCCCTGCACACGCTGCTCCACTCACCCTCTCTCCCAGGGCGGGAGAGTCCCAGCTCCAGGAGTGTTCCA